TTTGCAAAACTTTATTTTCTTTTGCAAAACTTTATTTTCTTTTGCAAAACTTTATTTTCTTTTCAATACTTTTATTTTCGTTTGCAAAACTTTATTTTCTTTTGCAAAACTTTATTTTCTTTTGCAAAACTTTATTATTTTGCATATATATGTGGCATTATATTGACTCCATACAGAAGCACACAAGTTTTGCTTCAATGCACAATGTGTAAAAAATGAATGAATGTGCACGATGTAGAAAATGTAGTTTGTTGCAAAGCAGATTTAATGCCTCACTTGTACGGTTTAGTTCAAGAGTTTACTCCATGAATAGGCTTACAGATCTGGGTTGGTAAAAGTTAAAGCCAAATCCTTGGGCGTAGCAGTCTGTCAAATACAAATGAGATCCAGCTCGTTTTTTGAATTTTGTTTTCTTTGTTTGGATAGTGCAATCTTTTTACCTTTTCACAGGACTTTTGTGGCAGTTAAGACCTAGTGACACTGAGGTGGAGCTGTTGGCTCATACTCGCAACGTGATCAGCTCAGAGTTGGAGGAGGAGACTGGCCTCGAGACGGGCTGGATCCAAAATGGAGGCCTGTTCATTGCGTCCAACAAGCAGCGACTGGACGAGTACAAGCGCCTCATGTCGGTATGGCACAAATCCTAAACCATACATCTTGCCAAGATGGGACTGCACAATCAAATTGCAAAAACAAATGGTTTTAATAAATTAATTGACTGTTTTTCTAGCCTTGCCTAGAAAATCTATAATTTATTTATCATAATGAATGAAATGTTAGTGATTAAAGATAATCTGATAAGTAAAATACTCATAGATTTTGTATTTCAGCTGGGTAAAGCATACGGCATTGAGTCATACGTCCTGTCGCCAGCTGAGACCAAGGACCTGTATCCTCTGATGAATGTGAAAGATCTTTATGGCACACTTTACGTGCCTAAAGACGGCACCATGGACCCAGCGGGCACCTGCACCACCCTCTCCAGAGCAGCCACCGCACGTGGTGCCACTGTACGTCTTCATACACTTTACTCTTTTTAAGTGATGAGTGAATTATTCTATATATAGGCTGTTGGAGCAGGGTGAATTAATGTATTGTAAGCCAGTGGTCTGGTTTAAGTTACGACCTTAATGATAGAGTTATTATTGATTACAGGTGATCGAGAACTGTCCAGTGACGGGTATCCAGGTCAAGGTTGATGATTTGGGCATTAAGAGACTGAAAGCGGTAGAAACTGCTCATGGGACCATCCAAACACCATGTGTGGTGAATTGTGCAGGTCAGAATGATGCAGACTTCACCAGCAGAGGGCAGTCCTTGATAATGAAATGCCGTTTAACCACATGCTGCTATAAAAGCTTACTGTTTTAAAATGTCCGTCACCAATATTTAATTAAATTATTAATTCTGAAAGCTAATTTTTAAATTATGAAATAATGAAAGCTAATTTTAAAACACTCTCAACCATAAATGGAAAAAAAATTATCTAAACACTTTTGATGAATAGCTAGACAATTTTTTTATTTTGTCGTTTCATCTGAATTTCAACATTTGTGAGATTTAGTCAGTCAAAACAGTTTTGGTGTTAATTGATTTAATTTTGAATCTTTGGAAAATAGTGTTCTCTGACCTTGTATTATTTTAAATATCATTTTTTTTGTGTCTATTTTTTAATGAGGCATTTAATGAGGTGGACACATCAATGCTTTAGATTTGTGGAGTTATAGTTTTAATTTTGAAGTAAAAAGATAAAATTAGACCTTTGGGGTAAGATGACCCCCTAGAATTGGAACAAAAGGCCCCAAGTGGCGTGTTGTTACTAGTGTTGTTATTTTTAAATTAATTCTTATTGTAATTAATGTGGTTATTTAATATTTCCTTCAATTTTTTAATGAGGCATTTAATGAGGTGGACACATCAATGCTTTAGATTTGTGGAGTTATAGTTTTAATTTTGAAGTAAAAAGATAAAATTAGACCTTTGGGGTAAGATGACCCCCTAGAATTGGAACAAAAGGCCCCAAGTGGCGTGTTACTAGTGTTGTTATTTTTTAATTAATTCTTATTGTAATTAATGTGGTTATTTAATATTTCCTTCAATTAGATGTACATTTCAGACGTCTTTTCATTAAAAACTATAGGTTGAGTGAAATCATTCACTTTGCATTCATAGTGTTGCTATTCACATTTCTTTACAGTAATTAAAATATGGGCTATTAAATATGTAAATATTCATATGTCTGTATATAATTCATATAATGAATTTACCTTTCAGATGAATCTCATTAATTGGGATCCCGTTTTGCCTGTTATCAGTTTCTCAATTATTCGACTAAATTGTCAAATAAAAATTTTTCATTGAATAGTTGATTTAGTATTTTACACTAAATGACCCTTTAAAACGTTTAGAAATATTAATACAAATTATATCACAAGTCATTTATACATTCTGTAAAGGTTTAGACAGGTAGGGGGTAATTTTCTCATTATTTTAATATTTTTATTTAAATTAATGTTTGCTTTTTGTGTATTTTATTTAAATATTTTATGTATTTCTTAAAATGGATTTCATAATCAAATTTCATCAAGTTTCTGTTTTAATACCATATAATACAGCAAAATCCTGTCACTTACTCTTGTGTGTTTTTTTTAGGTGTCTGGGCCACTAAGCTGGGTAAAATGGCAGGTGTCAATGTTCCTTTGATTGCCATGCACCATGCTTATGTCGTCACAGAAAGAATCGAGGGAATTCAGGTGAGCTTTTAAATGCGTCTCACTGTCCAGTTCAGCATAGCAAAGATCTTTAGAATTCCACGCACAAATTCACATCATTAAGAGGAGAAATGCACATATTACATATAACAGTGAGGCGGTCATTTGCATGATTTATTCATATCATTGTGAATGCGGGGAAACATCCATTATTGATTGATATTAATGTTGATATTAAAAAAATACTGAACAGTTTCACCACTTTTGTATGCAATATTTTAGTTCAGAATCATGTTTTATTCTCTAAGCACCTGCGGTCCAGTTTAACCATGTGCTGCAATAGCACTGATCTATATATAAATTAAGTAATTGGCATTATTTTTGGCATTATTATCCTATGTCTTAATTAATTTAATTTTAGAATTAAAAATTAAATTAATTAAATTTCGTTTTAGAATAGCTTTTAGATTTTAGTTTAGAATAGAATTTTTAGAATAGCTTAAATTTCTTACTTTGTTTGTATTTGAAATTTTAATAACTCCGTTATGGTTTTGGCATGAAAACAGCCAAAGAAGCTGGCATGTTGTTAAAAGCAAACAAAAAAGAATTAATTAAACTTATTGTATGTTGTGCCCTAGTAACTAAACTGCTATTTGCCTGTCACAACTAATGTTGCACTATTACCACCTGTGAAAAGTAGGTCAGGGCTCAACAATAAGGATGTCCTGATGACCCAGGCCCAGTTTGAGAGAGTTTCAGGCCACTTGCCCCATCTGACTAGCGCTGCATTGATACTGCATTTTACATCTTGTATATGTGTTTTTGTGTCTTTACAGTGTCTATAGAAGACTTATTGATTTGTGGTAATTTAAAAATTTTATCAAGGAAACTGTCACAATCATGGACTGTTAGTTTGTTTTCATTTGAGTTCACTTGACCTAGTTTCTGTTGTCTTTTGATTAGTTCATTTAGTTCACCTGTGTTAGTTAATTATCCTCATTTGGTCTGTGTATTTCAGTTCCTCTGTTTCTCGTTTAGTTTGTCTGGTATTGATGTTGTTATTTTGTTGCGTGCTCCCTTTGCCTTCATGGATTATCATCTTCTTGGATTCTATTAAACTCTTGTGTAGATGACCTTTGTCTTCGTGTGCCTTTCCTTTACTTGTTGCCTGACAGAATCCTGGACCACAAAAAAGAAGTTTAGGCGTTTGTATCCCCGTTTATTTTCCGTTTTTGTAAGTGTTTCTTTTGGTTTTCATATGGATCGCCCCAAATTCCTCCTCCAGCTGGAGCAGGGGGATCTTGCTCTCGAGGACCAGACCAGACTATTCCTGGACATTTCCGACGATACCAGCTACCCGGACGACGTGCAGAGCGCAGTTGTCCGGGGAAGGTCCTCGAGGGGATTTCGCCGCCTTCGTGGAGTGGGTGCTGGTGAGCAATGACTCGCCATTCACCATCAGTCTTGCTGGCCCCACTCCGGACCCAGAACCCAGCTGACCATCACCCCGCTGCGCGGAGCGTCAGCCAGAGCCCACCGCAGACGGAGAGCCAAAGCCTGCCGCGACCAAAGAGCCATCGCAAGAAAGGGCGACAGCGCTGAGGATCGCCAGACCAATCAACGATCGTCTGACCAGGTGCGAGAGCCGGCAACAACGCACGTGACGGTGGATGAAACGGTGAAGAGCGAGGACATGGAGGAAAGCCCCTCCCACTGTTCCACCGCTGAGGGTGAGCTGAGGCAGGACTCTGGGGATAACTGAATAAACTTAAATCCTCAGTCTTCCATCTTCTTCTGAAATATCTGCCTGTCCTGTTACGGCCAATGAAGCCGTTTATGAACTCCCTGTACATCCTGAAACGACCATGGATGTCTGTTTTAAACTGTTTGTTTGACTGTCCTGAACTATCTGCCTGTCCTATCACGACCATGGAGGTCGTAAGGCTGTGCAATTAATCGCATATCTGAAAGCAGGTGATGGAGATTTACTACTAATCACGGAACCGGCTTTACTGACAAGATGCGCATGACAATTGCATGCGATTAATTGAACAGCCCTAGGAGGACGTTCCCCTTTCTGTGGCACTCCCTGTCATGGGTGTCACCATCCCTGAACCCTCGGACTTCTCAAAATTCCCTCCGACCCTCCCTTCAGCTCCACCTCTTCACCAGTCCTCACCATCGCCTCCGCTGTCTTCTGTCAGCCCCTCTGCTCACCCTCAGCCCACTATCAGTGATGTGGGTCTGCCAGTTTCCATCGGCCAGCTCCACCTTAGTCCTCTGTCGCTCCAGCTCCACCACGGCCTTCCGGATCCCCGCCTACGCCTCGGTTGCCTGAGCCATCTGCTCCGCCTTGGCCCTCCGGATCCTCACCGTTGCCCTGGCTCTACGGCTCTCCGTCTCCGCCCCAGAATCCTCTCTCACCTACTCCGCTGCTGTAGGTCGGCTCCCTGGAGTCGTCATCCCTTCCTCCACCATGGCTCTTCCCTCCATCGGCTCCACCGTGGGCTGCATTCATGGCTGCGGTCTGGGTCCCGCCTGGCTCCTCGTGGTCCAA